ATATATATATATATATAATTAATTGTGATTAATTTTTGCCCAGGACTACTAATTATATTAGTCAAGATATCTGATGTAAAAAAATTAATTTAAAAAAAAAGTATTTATTCATATTTCTCTGTTCTTAATGTTTAGGAAATATTTTTGGTGCATCAAAAAGTGTGGTTATGATGACCACCAACAAGCTAATCCAGCTAAAAATAGTGCTTAAATGTTACTATTAAAGTTTCAAGAATTCCTCGAGCACTATTTTTTAAGATGTTAACAGATGTGTGTGTGTGTTGAGCATCAGTTAAGACAATGTTAGCAGCTGTCAGCTGTAATTGTGGGGTAAACTGGATAATGTTGAGCTTTTGTCAGCTATTTCAGCTTTTGGGGTTTGAAATGATTTTTGGGGCGGATCAAAATCGGTGACGTAGCGTAAAACTGCAAGTGCAAAGATAATGCGTCGGTTTCTCATTATTATTCATAGCTGAGTTCTCTTATCCTATGAGAAGAGCCGGCTTCTTAATTATTCATGACTGTGTGAGCTTTCCGAAGGCAAGACAGACCTGCCAGTGCCAAGCTGTGAGACCCTACCTTGATGACTGAGTGAAACAGCGCCCACGGACACATGACACACAGTATTTAGTCATTCATAAAGGGTCATATGTGTTTGTTTCCATGATCTACGGGGTTTGTTGCATGTTTTTCTTTGCGATGCTGTCAGGGCCGATCATAATACAGCAAAGTTGTATGTGTGCAGCAAGCATTTGTGTCGGGAGAGCAGACTGAGAATTGGAGAATGGCAGACTTTGTCCTTTATTAGTGCAGTTTGTTCACATTTAGACACATCGCCGTGCTGCTGTGTTCGCCTAAATCCTCCAGTCTACCAGCAGGGCTAATGGTTAACATAGACAGCACAAGAGACCTGCTGCACTGAGTCTACATTCAGATCTATGATTCAGACCCAGGGATTGAGGGAGAAGTCCTCATTTAGTGTTTATATGAACATGATTATCTTTATAATCATATAAATTGTGGTTTTCCGTATATGAAATTACAAATAACAATTGTAGCAGTGCATTAAATCAGTTCATTTCTTTGCATTTTAACTTTAACTATAAACTCATGCGTCTCCTCACGGTTTGTGTCTTATTTTGTGAGCCGACTGACAACAGTTGTTCGCTCCCCTCCTTCTCCCCTGCACTGTTGGCCACTCCTGCCTCTGATTGCAGAGCTCCGCCCATTATGATGCATCTTTTGAAAAAATTCTGAGGTAGACCTGAACCCAAAGTGGGGGGTGTCATGACCCTTTAAATATCATAATTAAATACAAAATGAGGCTAATAACTACAATAAGGTCCACTTTTTGAGAAAAAAAAAGAGTCATCTCTTTCATTAGGCTGGCTCTAGGCCCGACACATGTACAGAGTCTGCCATTAATGTTTAGTTGGAACGCAAAATTCCAGTGCAACATAAACATGCTGTATTTAGTAGTAAGCTGTAACTTGACGTCCCTTTACATCACAACCAGGCTACATTTAACTCACCGGCCCTAGTAAAAATGTAAATGTACAATAATTATCAGGGTTAAACGTGCTATAATGACTGTATTAACCGTGTCCTGCATGCACGAGCGGGCGCAGCTATTGGAATCTCTGTCTTCCGCTCTCATTCTAGATGTTAAAAACAGCTGATTCTGCTGCGTGATGATGCAAACTGATATTTTCCTATTGTGTTATTCTCCTTTTCATGTGTAGTCATGAACACACTTGTTTGTAGTGTGAGTAGTCTGACTGTTTTCTGCTGTTCATTATTCTTAGTTATTTCTGCCATAGCCGACTGAATCAGAAGTTCTGAAGCGATCGCAGAAACTTCAGCACTGCAGAATAAGGTCAATACATCTGACTGAGATACCACAGTGCTGGAGTTTGTTGTGTGAGTTTATTAGCTTTGGTGTGATGATGAATCTGACCAGGGTTTTGGTCTGGTAGATCTCCAGTCCGGCTAGAAACGCCGCCATGAAGGCCTCGGCCGGCTGCTTCCTCTGACCGCGTCTCTTCTTCTGTGGTTTCTTCTCCTCGTCTGAGAGAGAGTCTGAGATCTGCTCCTCTTTAGCTTTATCCTGGTCCTTCTTCTCTCCATCCTCCACACTGAACCCACACACACACACACACACACACACACACACACGTACGTTAGAGCAGTTCTAAAGCAAACACTGAACAGAAGTATAGTTTGCGTTCCTCCTCAATACTCACTCGACCTTCTCTGATTCACATTTGGCCTCAAATTCAGCTGCACGCCTACTAGCTGCTTCCTGCACAGAAAGCACACACACACACACAGGTTTATGAACTGTGGGGACATTTCATAGGTTTCCATTGTTCTTATATTGTACAAATGTTATTTTCTATCCCGATAGCCCCCCCTAAAATATCAATAGCTCCACTAATAATTACTGAAAACCCTTGCACCTGAGGACTGATATGCCATCCCTAAAGTTCAGATAGCCCCATCCTTAATGACTGATAGCCCCACCGGAGCGCTCACCGGCCCTGCACACACTGCTGGACATGAATGAATGTGTTAACGGTATAACTGTGCTGTTCTCACGGGTGCTGTCTGATATTGCAGTGATGCTTTTGACATATACTGTACCTTATTATATGCATACGTTATGTTAATAGCAAAACTTTTCATGAGTAGTGAAGTTAGTTTACTCAGTGTAAGCCCGTTTGCGATGGTGTACGTGGTGTTCAATTTAACATATAGCTGCCACTTGCACGGCGGACAGCATCTGGCGATTATATGAAGGATTAAACAGAAGCTCTCGTGCTAGATGTGGCAAACAGTTACCTGAAAACTCCATCCCACAGACTTTTCATAGCGGACTTAAAGCCAATTGAAGTCTTTTATCCACTCTTGGAAAAGTGTAGATGGTGGATTAACATTCAGCACATGGTCACTAGTAAGATGTGTCATTATTTGTAACTTTAGATTGTTTCTAAAACTAAATCTGTCAGTGTTATCTTCATTCTCATCTTCAGCGCTGTACAGTTTTTCACGGTAGCAGCTCTCTCTGTCATCCCCAGCCAGAAGGCATTGACTGAGTGATTGACAGCTGATATTTCAGTGCTAGAGCAGTGGTGGGCCAATAAGAAGAGCGAGAAGGCGGGGCAAGCATTACGGACTTGGATTTGTTTACTGCACCAAGTTGACATGACAACTGTTTTAAACTATTCCTGAGCGCTGCGTTTCCTGTTTCAAGTGCAGAGATGCATTCTGTGTGAATGTCTCCCGAATCCGTGCATGTGGTGAACATTTTGCAGTAAAAACTGGTCGCACACAACAATTTCTTGCACTCACACACATGCTCCCAAATATATTTTGAGGTTGCATAGATAAAATTTCGGGCGCATATGCGACCAAAATGGTCGCAATTTCGAGCCCTGCCACCATAACAGACTGAAATGCCCATCCTAAAGTACAGATAGTTCCACCCTAAATTGGGATACAGACAGCCCCACCCCACAGTACCAATAGCCCTACCCTTAATGACTGATAGCCCCTTCCTAAAGTCGATAGCCCCACCCTAAAGGACTCATAGCTTTACACTAATGGACTGATAGTTCCATCCTAAAGAATTGAAGGCCCTCCCCATAAAGAATTTATACCCCCCCTCCCCCCACCTCACCCTAAAGGACTGATAGCCCCGCCCTAAAGGACTGATAGCCCCACCCTAAATGACTCATAGCTTCACCCTAATGGACTGACAGCCCCACCCTAAAGGACTGATAGCTCCATTCCATGTTACCAGCAGTGAATAGTCATTTTTAGGGGGGAGGGAAGGTTATGTTGCTTGATTAAAGATAATATTTATTTACAAAAACATGAAGTGCACAGATACATCGTTTATAACAAGCACTACTATACTTACTATACTTAACATACTATACTTACTATACTTAATATACTATACTTACTATACTTAATATACTATACTTACTATCCTTAATATACTATACTTACTATACTTAAAGCACTACTATACTATACCACTATACTGATTTGATGCTGAATTTAAGCTAAAAGTGTTCCCACCAGACCCAGAGATCAGCTGATCGGTTAAAAAATGATAAAACTCAACTCTAATTCTGCACAATGAGCATACGCCCCCCCCACCCCAACAAAAATGAGTGTAAACAGCCAGACCTGTGCTTTTTTCTGATGTACGGCGCTAGCGAGAGACGGAGTGTCCACCCCAATCACCTCCGACACATCCCCCAGGCCGGGCTCCATGCCGTGTTTCCCTCCTTCTCTCCTGGGCTGAATGTTCATCAGCTCCGTCATCAGGTCCTCCACGTCTTCCTGATCTCCAGCCGAAAGTCGCCCGAGCTCCGAAACAGAGGACACATCGCAATACTCCAGCTTCTCCATCTCCAGGACATCCCCATGGATCCCGAATTGCGTGGGATCCGGCATATTGCCCAGGATATCCGTCACTTTAAAGGACCACATGAAATTAGAATTAAGATTTTCAGATGTCAACATTGTTTGTTTTTAGGATATCTATGAGATACTCTGTCAAAAATATCCAGAATTTAGCAGTTTTCCCTAGTTTGTGATTCATGTTTTTATATTTTAATTGATCTGTTGTGATGATTCTACAGTCGCTATGGTAACACAACAACTATAGAAACTGATCTGTTGTAGCGATTCTACAGTTGCTATGGTAACACAACAGCTATAGTAACTGATATGTTGTGATGATTCTACAGTTGCTATGGTAACACAACAACTATAGTAACTGATATGTTGTGATGATTCTACAGTTGCTATGGTAACACAACTAAAGTAATTGATCTGTTGTGGTGATTCTACAGTTGCTATGGTAACACAACAACTTAAGTAATTGATCTGTTGTGGTGATTCTACAGTTGCTATGGTAACACAACTAAAGTAATTGATCTGTTGTGGTGATTCTACAGTTGCATACTTCAGTTTCTGATCAAATCCTCTGACCAATCAAATGCTTTTTATCATCTGACATGCCCCGCCCTCTTTTTCTAATTTGCAATACATATGATGCGCTTAAGCTCAATCACTCTCATTGGAAGAGCTGTGAGAAAACAAAACACTATTGGCAGCTTTTTAAAAAAGGGGGAGGAGCTATACTATACCCTGCCCTCTCTTCATGCTTCGTTTGAGATTACAACAAACATCAAATAAAAAAGCACTTCACTGGACCTTTAATGTTCCTGGCTCCTTCTACGAGTCCGCCGCCGAAAAGCGTGGACCAGAGTATGTGGAAGAAGCCCCAGACGAGGCTGTAGAGCGAGCGGAAGAAACCGATGAAGATCATCCAGAAGAAGTAGAAGAATCCTCGTATCAGGTCTCGAAGGCTCATCTTCCTCAGTCTTCGGTAGCGTCTGCGCAGGCTCCGGAAGGTCAGCAGCTGGCGAAAGTTCGTCAGACTCTTCCTCATGGAGACGCAGGCTAAAGTAAACGCAGAGGAAGATTCCATCACTCCGTCATCTTCATCATCGTCCACATCATCGCTCTGAGCATCTTCATCATCTTCGTCTTCTTCATCCTCCTCCTCCTGTCTCTCAGCGGCGTCAGGTTCAGAGATCAGAGACGCCAGCTGCATCTCGAAGATGGTGTCCTCGCAGAAGTTGACGAACAGCTCCATCTTCTCAGACTCGCCGCCTTCGTTGACCACGTCGAAGATGAACTGACGCTTTGACTCTTTCACCTGCAGATTATAAGACTATTAGAACTGAAGTCTCATTTATACTGCTGCATTCTGTCTACTCTGCTCTGCTCTGTGATGCTTGTTGGCATCCATATGAAAAAATAGTTTAGTAATATAAAGTAAACACTATAGTGTTCTGAACCAAACTATGGCAAAGTACTTGAATTAATCTGTTGTGGTGATTCTATGGTTACTATGGTAACACAACAACTATAGTAACTGATCTGTTGTGAGGATTCTACAGTTGCTATGGTAACACAACAACTATAGTAACTGATCTGTTGTGGTGATTCTATGGTTACTATGGTAACACAACAACTATAGTAACTGATCTGTTGTGAGGATTCTACAGTTGCTATGGTAACACTACAACTATAGATCTGTTGTGATGATTCTACAGTTGCTATGGTAACACAACAACTTTAGTAATTGATCTCTTGTGAGGATTCTACAGTTGCTAGGTTAACACTACAACTATAGATCTGTTGTGATGATTCTACAGTTGCTATGGTAACACAACAACTTTAGTAACTGATCTGTTGTGGTGATTCTACAGTTGCTATGGAGACACTACAACTATAGTAACTGATCTGTTGTGATGATTCTACAGTACAGTTGCTATGGTAACACAACAACTATAGTAACTGATCTGTTGTGATGATTCTACAGTACAGTTGCTATGGTAACACAATACTATAGTAACTGATTTGTTGTGGTGATTCTACAGTTGCTATGGTAACACAATAACTATAGTAACTGATTTGTTGTGGTGATTCTACAGTTGCTTAGGTGACACTACAACAATAAAAATTGATCTGCTGTGGTGATTCTACAGTTGCTATGGTAACACTACAACTAAAGTAAGTGTTCTATAGTGATGATTCTACAGTTGCTATGGTAACACAACCACTATAGTAACTGATCTAGTAATTGATATTGTATTTGAATAAATCTGCAGAACTCACGTTGTTACGGAATCATATACATAAATAAATACTCTAGAACTCTACATCATTAATATTGTTTACTGAACTGAATAATTTTTCTATAGTTAATGAATTCTGCAGCATCAACACTGTTACTGAATTAAACAGTTTTATTTAAATTGATATTATCATAGCTGACTGGACCTGTGGTTTCTCCCACTGTGTTCGACTGGATTCGCTGATCTCGAAGTAAACCCTCTCGATCCTCTTTGCTCCGCCCATGATCTCAATGCGACCTAAGAAGGGCTCGAAGTAGTTGAGAACGCTCTCGGCCAGGTTGAGGAATGCAGACAGACGACTGTCGTGAGGCATGTGCTCTGACAGATTGGTAAGAAGAACAGCAACGTTGAATCCGATGTCTTTGGCGGGTTCGTGGAAACGCGTGACGAACTCTTCATAATTAAACATATCATTTTCATCCGCCTCGACGCAAGACAGCAGGAACTCGATCTCAGACTGTGAATACTGCTTCTGGTTCTCCATGGACTTCTGGAACTCCTTCTTGGAGATGACGCCTTTGCGGTCGGGGTCGTGCTCTTTGAAGTTCTCCGAGGTGGTTAAATCTTTCAGCTTGAGGAACATGTCGAAGAACTTAAGGATCATCTCCACGTTGCTGGACGACTCCACCAGTGTGTCCACCATTTGCTTGCCGATGGTGCCGTTCACAACGTTTCCTGCGGGAGAACAGAAAAATTTAGAAAGGGTTCCCTGATTCTATGTGGTTGCTAGGCTATTACTATGTGGTTGCTTGGGGCATTTTGAGTGGTTGCTAGGCTGTCACTTTGTGGTCACTATGGTGTTTTCAGTGGTTACAAGGCGCGTGTCTCTAAGGTGTTTGAGTGGTTACTAGGCTGTTGTTATGCAGTTGCTGTGTTTTTTTGAGTGGTTACTAGGCTGTAGCAATGTGGTCACCATGATATAAAGAGTGGTTACTAGATTGCTGCTATGTGCTCAATTAATAGTTACTAATTACTAGGCTGTCACTATGCAGTCGCTGTGTGGTTACTAGGCTTTGTTGGTATTCAATCACTGTGCTGTTTTGAGTGATTGCTGGGCTGCCGCTATGTGGTTGCTTTGGTGTTTTGATTGGTCACAAGACTGTTGCTATGTGGTTGTTGTGATGTTTTAATTGGTTTCCAGGCTGTCACTTCAGAGCTGTTGTGGTGTTCTGAGTGGTTACTAGGCTGTTGCTGTGCAGCTGCTGTGGCGTTTTGAGTGGAAACTAGGCTGTCACTATGCATTTGCTGTGGTGTTTGGAGTGGTTGCTAGGCTGTCATAATGCAGTCACTGTGTGGTTATTAGGCTTTGTTGCTATTCAATCCCTGTGGTGTTTTGAGTGGTTACTACGCGCTGATATCTAAGGTGTTTGAGGCGTTACAATGCTGTTGCTATGTGGTCAATGTAGTGTTTTGAGTGGTTACTAGGCTGTCACTATGCACTGCTGTGTGGTTCTTAAGCTTTGTTGCTATGCAATCGCTGTGGTGTTTTGAGTGGTTACTAGGCTGTCGCTTTGTGGTCACTTTGGTGTTTTATGTGGTTAATAGGTGCTGATTACTAAGGTGGTTAAGTGGTTACCAGGCTGTTATTATGTCGTCACTATGGTGTTTTGAGTGGTTACTAGGCGCTCGTCACTAAGGTGTTTGAGTGGTTACAGTGCTGTTGTTATGTGGTCAATGTAGTGTTTTGAGTGGTTACTAGGCTGTCACTATGTACTGCTGTGTGGTTCCTAAGATTTGTTGCTATGAAATCGCTGTGGTGTTTTGAGTGGTTACTAGGCTGTCACTATATACTTGCTGTGTGGTTACTAGGCTGTGTTGCTATGCTATCAATGTGGTGTTTTGAGTGTTTACTAGGCTGTCACTATGCAGTCGCTGAGTTGTTGTAAAAGGTTACTAGGCGCTGGTCATTAAAGTTTTCAGTGGTTACTAGGCTGTTGTTACGTAGACCCTGTGGCATTTTAAGTGGTTAAATGACTGTTGCTATGCATTCGCTATGTGGTTACTAGGCTGTGTTGATATGCAGTCTGTGTGGTGTTCTGAGTGGTTATTAGTCTGTTGCTATGTGGTTTTGAATGGTTACTAGGGTGTCACTTTGTGGTGACTATGGTGTTTTGAGTGGTTACTAGGCGCTGGTCTCTAAGGTGCTTGAGTGGTTACTAGGCTGTTGCTATGCAGTTGCTGTGGTGTTTTAAGTGGTTACTAGGCTGTCGCTTTGTGGTCACTATGGTGTTTTGAGTGGTTACTAGGCTGTTGTTAAGTAGTCACTGTGGTGTTTTTTTTTGTGGTTACTAGGCACTGGTCACTAAGATGTTTGAGCGGTTACAATGCTGTTGCTATGTGGTCAATGTGGTGTTTCAAGAGACAGCCTAGTTGTTACTAGGCTGTCACTATGCAGTCGCTATGTGGTTACTAGGTTGTGTGGCTATGCAGTCGCTGTGGTGTTCTGAGTGGTTATTAGACTGTTGCAATGTGATTTTGAGTGGTTACTAGGCTGTTGCTATGGGGTTACTGGTGTGTTTTGAATAGTTACTAGGCTGTCACTTTGTGGTCACTATGGTGTTTTGAGTGGTTACTAGGCGCTGGTCTCTAAGGTGCTTGAGTGGTTACTAGGCTGTTGCTATGCAGTTGCTGTGGTGTTTTGAGTGGTTACTAGGCTGTCGCTTTGTGGTCACTATGGTGTTTTGAGTGGTTACTAGGCTGTCACTATGCACTTGATGTGTGGTCACTAGGCTGTGTTGCTATGCTATAATGTGATGTTTTGAGTGGTTAGTAGGCGGTTGCTATGTGGTCAATGTGGCGTTTTGAGTGGTTACTAGGCGGTTGCTATGTGGTCAATGTGGTGTTTTGAGTGGTTACTAGGCTGTCACTATGCAGTCGCCGTGTTGTTTTGAAAGGTTACTAAGCGCTGGTCACTGAAGTGTTTTGAGTTTGCTAGGCTGTGTTGCTATGCAGTCGCAGTGGTGTTTTGAGTGGTTACTAGGCTGTCGCTTTGTGGTCACTATGGTGTTTTGAGTGGTTACTAAGCACTGGTCACTGAAGTGTTTTGAGTTTACTAGGTTGTGTAGCTATGCAGTCGCAGTGGTGTACTGATTGGTTACTAGGCTGCTGCTCCTGCAGGAGAACAACACAATTTCCTTTAAAAAGATTCTCAGAGGTTATTATCTGTCTGTGCATGAGTGTTTGTGAAACAGAACCTTCCAGCAGCGACAGCATCATGACGATCATGTCCTTCTGCAGATCCATCAGCTCCTTCAGCAGCTCGATCTGACTGGAGTCCTGAGAGGATGCAGCAGAAACGCATTAGTGTGATGAAGAGTTGCTTCACAGCACGCTTTCATTCTCCACATCAACCTCACGCTTCATCTCGCAAACAAACCAGCATCAAACAACAGCAGATCAAGCTCGCAATCTCATCTCTTACTGAGATCATCTGCAGATCACACAAACAAGCACATGTAGTGTGTGTGTGGAGACATCTAGTGTTCACAGAGTGTACTACACAGACAGATCTGATCTCCGACTGCTCTTCCAGCAGTATAATAGAGCAGACAGATGTGAGTATCCTAATATATATTGAGCTTATTCTGCAAGTATTTTTTTGATTCTTTATATCTTCTGATTCCGTTTCAGTTATGGCAGAAATGACTAAGAATAAACAGCATGACTACACATAAATGGGGAATGGGTGGCAGGGCACACCCTTATAGATAGGGTGAAGAGCTCTGACACCCGGGAGGAGCTCAGAGTAGAGCCGCTGCTGCTCCACATCTAGAGAAGTCAGCTGAGGGGGTTCGGGCATCTGTTTCGGAAGCCTCCTTCTCTCCCGAGACTGCTGCCTTTACAACCCGGCCCCGAAAAAGTGGATGAAACTGAATGAATGAATGAATGACAATTAAAACATATGAACACAACTGAGTAGGATGAAGTTCTTATCTGATGATGATAACTGCACATAAACTGGAGTAATCAGCTGTAGTGAGAGCATGTGCGCCTGCTGATCAGTTTATTTGACAGATAATAATGTGTGTGTGTGTGTGTGTGTGTCTTTGTGTGTGTGTGTCTGTCTGTGTGAGTCTGTGTTGTGTGTGTGTGTGTGTCTGTGCTGTGTGTGTGTGT